TGTGTCCCCCTGTGTGTCCCCCTGTGTGTCTCCCTGTGTGTGTCCCCGTGTGTCTCCGCTGCGTTCTTGTTAGCGTAGCACAGGCAGCTAAAGCGCGTTAGCGCCGCTAGCTCATTAGCTGCTGGCTTAGCGGGAGCTTTGTGTGGTGGAGGTGATAGCCCCCCCCCACAGTCGCTACACAGACAGTTTAAACCACCATGATGAAGATGATGATGACGAGGAGCTCGTCTTCGTAGCACTTTATTACTCTAAAGATGTAAACTGCTGATTTTCCTCTTTTTCTCCATCCTCTCTTCTTCTCTCCTAATTAGTCTTACCAGCTCTCTAAGCTCTTAATCTCTCTCCTCCTCTTCATCCTCATCCTCATCCCTCCATCATCCATCCATAAATACTTCCACTCCTCCAGCTTTGCAGCCTGTTGCATCCTCTCATCCTCTCATCCCTCCTCTCCTCTCAGTTTGTTTTGTCTAACAGATTATCGTCTGATGCTCAGCTCTCCTCTTCCATTTCCTCCTTCTTCTCCTCCTCCTCCTCTTCCTCCTCCTCCTCCCGTCTACATCAGGAGCTCATTAGCAGCAGCTTAGCGTCGTCCTCTTTTGGGTTCTTCTTCTTCAGTGGTTGTTTTATCAGCGTGTTCATCGCAGACTCTTTCTACAATCAACTTTATAATATATATATATATATATATACGTTATATATTTAAATATAATATATATATATATATATATATTATATTTAAATGAATGTAAACAACTATTATATTGATACGCTCTTGTGTTTTTCTTTAGTAGTAGTACATCTCTTCGTTGTATTCTTGTTGTATTTGACTCCTAAGCAGCTGAAGGATTCACCTCCAGTCTTCTACGTTCTACGTTGTACTCACATGGCAGTACTGAGGAGTACATCATCTTTTCCGTCGTTGTACTGAAGCTGGGGTTACTTCGTACTTATATTCTTATATACTTATAATCTTATGTTCTTTCACACTTTAAAGAGTTTTGTGCAAATCTTTCTTTCTCTTTTCTTTGGTTGCATCTTATTCTGAAAGTCCAACAAAACATTAACGACTTCAACCGGACAGTAAAATATAAACTCGTGTACTTTTACTGCAGTACTTGTCAGCAACTGTCCTCCATCACGGAGTACATTCTACTGCTGCTGATGTTTTTATGTACTTTGTGAAGCACGTGTTGTGAGTTACTGTGTGTATTAATGTGTGTGTGTGTGTGTGTGTGTGTTACTGACTGTCTCTCTGTGCTCTCCCCCCCTGCAGTGTGAGCAGTGGTCGCAGACACACACACAACAACAAACCCCGCCCCCCTTCCTCCCGATCGCCCCCCCGAGCGACTCGAGCGTTGCTTTACGAGAAAAAACAGGACGGGTAAATATAAGCTCCTCCCTCCTCCCATCATCACCCCGCTGTGCTGGTGAACACATCAAGCGCACCTCACCATCGCTGCTTCATGTCCATCTGTCCTTCTTGTCTTCTCGTTGCATTGCGTCCCCCCCTGTCCCCTTCCTCTTCTTCACTCGTTTAGCAGCATGCACCCCCCCCCCATCACCACCCTCTGACCCCCACTTTTTCATTCTTGAGCTCCTTCCTCCGACTTCCATCCGCCGAAGTAACTAAAGTACATTGTACTCGAGTACTTCATTTGATGTATACAAATACTTAAAAATGTATAAGTACAGCTCAGTATTTTTTACAGTGTGGTATCAGTACTTTTACTGTAGCAAAGTATTTTTACTCTTGTATTAGTACTTTAACTTGTACAGAGTATTTCTACACTCTGGTACTAGTACTTTTAGCTGAGTACTTCCTCCTCTTCATCCTCTCTCACCTGTAAATGCTGCCTCATCACCTGCTGCTTCCTGTCATGTGATCACGTTGATCAGCTGATGTTTGGCTGCTTCCTGCTTCTGTTTGAACTTCATTCTCAGGTGTTTCAGACCTTCTGAATGTTTGCGAGTGAAGCGGAGCAGAAACATGCTGGTGTTTTAAAGTTGTATTCTGTGTGTTGTTGACATCATGCAGATGTGTTCTTACATCTCTCAGCTCATCTTCAGAGTCTGATTCCAGCTGTTGCTCGTAGATGTGTGTGTTGATAGATGAGCTCTGTACCATGATATTCCTCTTTAATTTCCCCTCAAATATCTTCCAATATTTAAATTACACATCGGGTCTGCATCAGCTGTTTGCTGCTCCTCGTTGTTTATTTAAATGGAAATAATCCAGATGTTTCTTACATCAGTTTATACAAAACTTTGGCATTTTTAGGAGAATTTAAAATATGTTTCCGTGAGTTTGAACGGTTATTGTCCGTCTCTTAAAGATGTCTTTAAAGCATGTTTAGTGACATTTAAGGAAATAAAACTTGTTGATTTGTTTGCAAATCAACAAGTTTTACTGCAAAAAAGTAGGAAATACGTTAAATCTTCTTCATACAGATCAGAGGTGATACTCTGCGTATCAGAAGTTTAACACTCAAACAATTAAAGTGGAATTAAAACGATAAAATATAGATTCTTTTAGTCTGATTCTGAACAATGTTCAGCACACAGAATGAGATGTTTTATTGGTAGAATCTGATGTTTCTTACTTTGGTGTACGGAGAACAAACAGACGGGATGTGTGTGTGTGTGTGTGTGTGTGTCTGCGCGCGCATGTTCATCTGAGAGAGAGAGTGGCGGAATCTGCGTCCTGATTGGCCGAGAGCTGGCAGACATTTTCCACACTCAGACTGCTCTGTGATTGGCTGAGACCCCCCTCCCCCTCCCTCCTCCTGGCTCTGGTATGCCGTACAGTAGAGCTGACACACCGCCGATGCTATCTCAACACTTTATCACGTCGGGTCTAAACTCCAACAAGTGTGTGTGTGTGTGTGTGTGTGTGTCAGTCAATCTGTAACCAAGCTGTAGGGTGGAAAACACACACACACACACACACACACACACACCTGAAAAAGCCTGAAAGTCTAGATGATGCAAGAGGGAGGAGGAGGAGGAGGAGGATGAAGAGGAGGAGGAGAGGAGAGTTTCACACATGCAAACAAAAGTTAAACAAGTTTTTTTTTTATTGAAATTGTTTGCAAAAGAGTGAGAAAGAGAAACGTGCCGTTTCTTCCAATGAAGCTGAAGCTATAACTCTAGTTATAGATTCATTTGTTGAAACTATTTTGACGTTTTAAAGCTTTCATCCATTTATCCAGATGGATGGATGAAGAGTTTGGGAAGTTTATTAAGTTAGTTTATTTATTTTGCACAATTTAAACAATAAAATAAACAAACGTAACAGAGATAAATAAATATCTCAGAGCAGGAAGAGGCACAAAGCCAGCTGGGCTGATGTGAAGCCTCCACCTCTATAGTATTTAAATATCACAGAGAACATAAGATGAATATTCATAAGATAGGACTATAAAATATCTAATGTTCTTCAGTCTAATCTGACATCAGCAGTGGATGTTTTGTGGCTGAATGGAAATGGTAAAATAAAGACAATAATAATAATAACAATAATAATAATAATATTTCTGTGTTTTAGTTTCACGAGTGTTAACAAGTTCGGGCAAAGTAGTGCTGAGGGGAAGGGAGGGAACGTCAGGAGCAGTGGAGGATGGGTAATGGCAGCTGAGTGTTAGGTGGGGGGGGGGGAGAGTAGGAAGAGGCACAAAGCCAGGTTGTCTGCTGTGCCGTCTCCCATGGGGGGGGGGGCAGCAAAGCACTCTCTTGTGACTCCCGCGAGCTTCCTGTTGTGGTCGAGGCTCAGAAAGAGATAAAAACGACTTCTTTTGGTTTCTTGCGTTAGTTTCGATGAACAGCTGAAACATCAGTTTATCTTTTTTACACCAACGTAAGATCCGTCACGTGCAGACATTTTGGGATGTCAGTGTGTTTATGTGTTATTATATATCCTCAGAGGGAAACTAAGCGGGTTTTTTTCAGTAAAATAAAAGATGTTGATTTGCAAACAAATTTACTGGAGAAACGCATAAGTTCCAGCTGTTTGTTTATTTAAATGGAAATTATCCAGATGTCTTTTGCATCAGTTTATACACATTTACCCCCAAAAAGCGTTGACGTTTTTAAGAGAATTTAAAATGAGTTTGAATGATTATTGTTGGTCCGTCTCTTAAAGGAGTATTTAAAGCATGTTTAGTGACTTTAAAGGAAATGAAGCGTGTTTTTCTGTTAAAAAATATTAACTGCAAAAGATGGAGGAAATGCATCAAATGTTCTTCACACAGATCAGAGGTGATGCTCTGCGTATCAGAAGTTTAAGATTAAACAATTAAAGTGGAATTAAAACAATAAAATATATATTTTTTGTCTGATTCTGAACAATGTTCAGCACACAGAATGAGATGAGATATTGATGTTAATAAATGCTCAACACTATGTTAATGAGGTCAGCCGTACAAAGGTCGCTAAGCTAACCTGATGCTAGCAATAAGTCTGTGGTTT